TATCCTCTACATGTTATCCAACCCTCCTATCCTTTCTTTCTTTCTTTTTTTTAAAATCTGTATCGGGGATCGAACTCATGACCACCTGCTTGCAAGGCAGGTGCTTATGCCGCTGAGCTAAATCCCCAGCCCCCAACCCTCCTATCCTTAGGGCAGGTAGCACTCTCCTCAAGGGTAAAACAGCCTTAGTCCTAGCATCACACAATGAATCAATCCCAGCATCACATCCTCTATCCCAGCATCATACACCCTAGGTCCTGTCACCTGCAAAAGGCTCCAACTTGGGCTGGGGATACAACTCAGTGGCATAAGTGCCTACCTGGCAAGCATGATGTCATAAGTTCAAGCCCCAGTACAAAAAATAAATGAATAAATAGGCTCCAGCTAGGACAGCATGAGACTTTGTGGGGAAGAGGGTACATATAGATACAAACCACAACACCAGGGAAGGTAATCTGGCATCTGGGGAACGGAGTAAAAAATAATATTTTCAATGTATACATCTTGGTATCTTTTATATTTGGTAGCATGTGAGTGTATTTGATACTTAAAAACTGAGTGTATTTAAAATTTTTAAAGTGTGCATTTAGGGCCAGGGATGTTGTTCACTATCACAGTGCCTGCCTACCAAAGCATGGCATTAACAAAATAAGAGAAAAATGATAATTGGACTTAATCAGTAACTTAAAAATTTAGCTGGACATGGGAGTGCATGCCTGCAATCCCAGCACACAGGAGGCTGAGGTAGGAGGATTGCTGTGAGATTGAGGCAGCATGGGCTACATGGTGAGTTAAAAACCAGCCTGAACTACATAACCAGACTCTGTATCAAAGAGAAAAAAGATTTTAATGCTGCTCTGTAAAAGACACTGCTAAGAGAAAAGAAAGACAGCCTGGCCTTGGGTTCAATCCTCAGCTTACACACACACACATGCAGAGAAAAATAAATACATAAAAAGAATGGAGAGCCAGGCACAGTGGTGCATACCAGTACATGGGAAGATGAGGGGAGGATTGCTGTGAGTTCGAACCCAACCTGGGCTACATGGTGAGTTCAAGACCAGTCTGAACTACATAGCAAGACACTCAACAGAAAGAATGGAAAGACATGTTGCAGACTGAGAAAAAGTCTTTGTAATATACATATCGTTTTTCCTTTTTTTTTCGGTCTTTTTAAGACAGAGTTTCACTAAGCAGTTCAGGCTGGCCTTGAGCTCCCCTTGTGGCTCAGGCTGGCCTCAAACTCACAATAATCCTCCGCCTCAGCCTCCCATGTGTCACCACACCTGGCTAAGATATTTATTCTTAATACTATCTTTATTGTGGGGAGGGTTTTTGAGAATCTCACTATGTAGTCCAGGCATCACTGGACTAGGAACTGGAATTGAGGATTCTTTGTGCTTCTAGTTTCCGTTTTTCCATGTAGAGTGATTATGAAAGAAATTTTTTTTTTGTACCAGGGATCAAACTCATGACCTTGCACTTACTTGCCAGGCAGGCACTGTGCCACTGAACTATATCTCTAGCCCAAAAAAGAAAATTTTGATTAAAAGAGATGAGGAAGCCGGGTGTATTTGTGCATGCCTATAATCCCTGCTACTCTGGAGGCTGAAGCAGAAAAAATACCATTCAAAACCAACCCAGGAAATTTATGTATTTAATTTATTGCAGTACGGCCTTCACTGAGCTTCACCTTCATTCATTTTCCATTTTTTTTAACACAGTGTGACTAAGTCACTAAGTTTCCCAGGCTGGACTTGAACTTGCGACCCTCCTGCCTCAGTCTCTCAGGGTGCTGGGATTACTGGAATGTGCCACCATGCTCAGCTGCTATTTTCATTTTGAAGAACCTCCATACTATTTGACATAGCTGCTACACCATTTTACATTCCCGTAAGCATACACAAGGTTGCAATTTCTCTGTATCCTTGCCAATTTACTTTTTTTTTCTATATTGTCTGCTATAATGGGATGCGATGGTCTCATTGTGTGGTTTTTTTTTTTTTTTTTTGTCTTTTTGAGACAGGGTTTCACTATGCAGTTTGGATTGGCCTTGAACTCACTTTGTAGCCCAGGCTGGTCTTAAATTTGCAAGGATCCTCTTCCCTTAGCCTCCTGAATGCTGGGATTACAGGCCTGTGCCACCACCCCAGGCTCTCATTGTGGTTTTGATTTGCATTTCCCTTATGGTTAGTGATAGGAATCAGTGTATTTTTAGGTCCCTAATTATGTGCTGGAAAAGTTGAGAACAGAGTTTAAGGGATGTACAGACACAAAATTCTGATAAGTAATATCTCTGATATTTTTCTTGTTCTCCTTCTGATGAAAAGTCTGTTTCCCCACCCAAATTCTACTTCCACAGATTACGGAGTCAATCAAAACTTCCTTAGGAAGCCCACATAAGCCTCTCTAGGGGAAATGCCTCTTACATTAGGATTCTTCTCACAGCAATCTATATATATGTCAGGAAGAAATCAAGCTGGACTACTTATGATTTCCAAGTCTCCAGGGAATTATTTGCATCTACAAGTGAAATGCCATCCATGGATAATACGCAGCAAAATGGGAAATCTATAGGTTTTTCCTTGGGATAACCTTGAGTAAATTGCTCCACTTTAAAAAAAAAATCTATTTTACTGTTTCACTTTGCTAGGGCAGGTTTTCTTCAGTAGTTAAAATGAAGGGATTAATTTAAATGGTATCTAAGGTCCTTTTGACTTGACTTTCAATAGTATCAGCATACAGTTTCAGTGTTTACTTCATTCTTCTCAGAACTGGGCAATCTATTTAAATCAAGATTTAATAATATATTGGTCCTAAGTTCATCCTTTCTTTTTTTTTTTTTTTTTTTGTCTTTTTGAGACAGGGTCACACTATGCAGTTCAGGCTGGCCTTGAGCTCACTTTGTAGACCTGGCTGTTCTCGAACTCCCAAAGATCCTCCTGCCCAGCCTCCCAAGTGCTGGGATTACAGGCATGAGCCACCATACCTGGCTCTAAATTCATCCTTTCTAAAAATAACTTTTTTTTGTCCTATTGGGGATCTATCCTAGGCCCTTTGGCACTGAGCTACATCCCTATTCCTTTCAGAAAATTTTTCATTCTGAGACAGAATTTTGTTAAATTTCACAGCCTGAGCTTGAACTTGCAATCTCTCTGTCTTACTCCCTAGAGTGTGTGTACTATCACATTCAGCTTCAAAAAAAAAATATTTCAGTGCATATTACTAAATGATTTGTGGCTGTAATGAGTGCTATCAGCATTTCACAGCTTCTCCAGAAATCTAATTACTGAACATCCTACCTATGAATTGATTAAACTGAGCACCAAACCTGGGTTTCACAAATTATATCTATTTGAAATTTAAATAGATCCTTATTAACAGTTTGTATAATAGAACAATAAAGCAAGAAATAACACTATGGTGATTTATTTATTTTTTTTATTCATTACATAATTCCTTTTTTTATTTTAAAGAGAATAAAACAAAACAAAGCAAACCAAAACAAAACAGAACAAAACAGCACAGAGTAAAACAATGCAAATAACACAGGATTCAGAAAAAGACAGCTGGAAATCAACAGTGGCTATCATAATGTTTCTTGTTTTCTTTGAAATAGTTGTCCACACCTTCACACACAATAAGTTAATACAAATCAAAATAATATAAAAGCAATCAAAACACAAGAATGATAGCCTTAAGGGCTTTCAAGACCAGACTCTAGGAAATCAATAACGGCTCCCATAATGCTGCTTGTTTTCTTCAAAATATCTGTCCACACCATCATACATATTAAAATCAAGCAATTGAAAACAGACTAAAACCAATCAAAATCAAGAATAAAAGCATTATTGGACTTTGAAAAAAATGATAAGAAATGATCAGTGGCCATCATGATGTCTGGTTTTCTTCAGTGCAATTGTTCATTTTATCACACATAATAAAATCAATTCTTGTAAACCATTTAGGTATAATTCTAGGCATATATAAGCCTTATATGTACATCTATCTTTTCTGTATTAGAGGGGAAAACAAAACAATAAATAAATAACTATAACTAAGAGCCCCCTAAAATATGGAACACTTCACGAATGTTTACTCTGTGCCATTGTATGTTCAAGCTGTTTTATTTTTATTTTTACAGGGACTTAAAGCTACATGTTTGCCTTGAGACTCAGTGGAGACACTGGACTTGAACTTTTTTTAGCAGTGTTAGAAATGTTAAGATGTTGGTGACTCTTAAGAGATGGACTAAATGTACTTTGTATAATGAGATGGACCAGAGCCTTTTGTGGGTCAGGGGTGAATGTTATGGTTTAAGATCTGAAAGGAGGCTCAAAGTCTCACATTTGAAGGTGAGGCCTGGTCAGAAGGGGCAGATCACTGGGGGCTTGAATTAGAAGAGGGTATCATTTGCAGCTCCTCCCTTCTCTCTGCTTCCTGGCCACCACACAGTAAACAACTTTGCACTGTTATGCCATTTCTGACCATGGACTAAATTCACTGAAACTGTGAGGCAAAATAAGACCTTTTTTGTTTTGTACCAGGGATTGAACCCATAACCTCACGCTTGCCAGGCAGGCATTTATACCACTGAGCTAAATCCCCAGCCCAAACTTGTCTTTTTTTTTTTTTTTTTTTTTTGAGACAGGGTCTCGCCATGCAGTTCAGGCTGGCCTTGGGCTCACTTTGTAGCCAGGCTGGTCTCAAACTTGCCACAATCTGCCTGCCTCAGCCTCCCAAGTGCTGGGATTACACAAGTAGGCCACCAGACCCAGCTAAACCTCTCTTATTTTATTGGTATCGGAGATCGAACTCACAACCACGCACTTGCAAGGCAGGCGCTTATGCCACTGAGCTAAATCCCAGCCCCAACCTCTCTTCTTTAAATTGCAAATGTCAGCTATTTTGTCCTGGCCACAGGAAAGTAACTAATATAGATCAAAAGACAGACTTCTTTACTTCCTGTCCAGTGTTTCTGCTGCACAAGTACAAATGCATTCTTGTTTAGTTTCTTTTTTTTTTTTTTTTTTGTCTTTTTCGTTTTTATTGGTACCAGGGATTGAACTCACGACTGCCTGCTTGCAAGGCAGGCGCTTATGCCGCTGAGCTAAATCCCCAGCCCCTTCTTGTTTAGTTTCATATAACTTGATAATCTGCCAGGGTAACTTTCAAATCAATTTTTTACCATCAAAATGGAATTACCAGCTGGGTGGGGGGCACATGCCTGTAATCAATTTACCAGCCGGGTATGGGGCCACATGCCTGTAATCCCAGTACTTGAGAGGTTGAGACAGGAGGATCGTTGTGAGTTTGAGACCAATCTGGGCTACAAAGAGAGCTCGAGGCCAGCCTGAACCGCATAGTGAGACCCTGTCTCAAAAAGACAGGAAAAAAAAGGGAATTACCTAGTTAAGTATTCAGTGAGGCAGCTATATTGGCATACACCAGTACTCTCAGTACTAAGGAGGCTGAGGCAGAAGGAATGCTGCTAGTTGCACACCAGCCTGGGCCACACACTGAGCTCAAGATCAGCCTAAAGCTACATAGTGAGACTCTGTCTCAAAAAAAAAATTTAGATTCTTCAGCTCATGAACATGATGAGGGTGTTCATGTCACATGCATGAGATGTGCCTCCCTCAAACCTTGTTATGATGCACATTACTCAGCTTATGTCTAAAGAAATTTAAAAAAGGAAGTCTGGAGATACAGCTCAGTGTGAAGGCTTTGAGTTTAATTCCCACTACTGCCCCCAACAAACAAGAGTTCACTGACTGGGACAAAAGATAGATCAATATTGAAAATTGCCATTCGTCAGTGCTGTTCTTGGAGAACAGCGGGGAGAGATATCAAGGCCACCCCAGGAAGCAAGCCCTGTCTGGGAACCAGTGCCATGTGCCAGCTGCCGCCAGCCTGGAGACAGCCAGACCCCAGCCCCTTCTGGCACGTGGGTGGGCAAATTAAGTACCAAGCCGGGGATGGTGGCTCACACTTGTAATCCCAGTACTCAGGAGGCTGAAGCAGGACCGTTGAGTTCAAGACTGGCCTAGGCTACAAAGTGAGCTCAAGGCCAGTCTGAACTGCATAGACTCTGTCTCAAAAAAAAAAAAAAAAAAAGAACCAATCACACACACACACACACACACACACACACACACGCCACCACCATAAGCGACTAGCTGATCTGGAGAAACACAGATTGTGATGATAGCTATCGAGGTGAAAAATATAATTGGATGCCTATGGTGCTTTGGTGTTTCACTGACCTTGCAGGCCAGTGGTCTGAACATCAGAGGATAGCAGCAGGCATTGTGGCACCTAGCAGGGATATCCTTCTGAGGTGGGTAGCCATTGTCTTGTTTTGAAGTCCTATATCATTTTCATTGTTTAGCTGGGTTGGGTTTTATTCTTTGTTTTGTTTGATTACATAAAATACAATGGCATGAGCAGCTATTTCAAAGACAGAAAGATATATTGTGGTAGCAATTTTGGATTTACTATTGGCTTGAAGTCCTTTATTGCATTCATTATTTTGTTTTTGTTTCTATTCTGTTTGATTTTTACTATGTCTGAAACTATTTGCAGCTATTTTGAAGACAACAAAAAGGCATTATGGTAACTATTGTTGATTTCATGTTTTGAAGTCCTGTATCTCTTACACTGGTTTGTTTTGATTGGTTTTATTGTTTTTATTATCCTTGGTTTTATTCTCTTTAAAATAAATTTTTTGTCTTTTTCGTTTTTAACGGTACCAGGGATCGAACTCACGACTGCCTGCTTGCAAAGCAGGCACTTATGCTGCCGAGCTAAATCCCCAGCCCCCTAAAATAAATTTTTAAAAAAGACAATTGCCACTCATCCCTTTCTCTGATTTTTTTTGAGAGACATGGTCTGGGTATGTAGTTTATACAGGCCTGGAACTCACTGTCTAGCCTCAATTTTGTGATCTTCCTGCCTCAGGCTCCCGAGTGCTGAGATTATAAGTGGACACCATCATGGCCACCTTGGGCTGTTCTTACTAATCTAACACATCACAACATTAATAAAATGCCACTTATAGATTCCTAGAATAATTTTTGTTTTGTCTTTTTGAGACTGGGTCTCGCTATACAGTTCAGGCTGGCCTTCAGCTCACTTTGTAGCCTAGGCTGGTCTCAAACTCCCAAGGATGCTCCTGCCTCAACCTCCCGAGTGCTGGGATTACTGCCACCTCACCTGGTTTAAGAATTTGTATCAATCTAGAAATACTTAAGAAAATTGTCCATTTTATTTCAAGGAGAAAAGAATAAGAATAAAAATTGTCCTACTAGCTGGTAGTGGTGCCATACACCTGTAATTACAGCACTTACATGATGAGGTAGGATTGTCATGAGTTCAACATCAGTCTGGGGTACATAGTGAATTTAAGGCCTGCATGAACTACATAGCGTGACTGTCTCAAAAAACCAAGGAACGCCCCCATTAATTTCACTACAATTTTAAAATGAAATATTCTAATCCTGCCATTCTCCTTTAGTTCTGTTATTAATTGGTATTTTTGAGAGACTCACTGTAGTTCCAGCTGGCCTTTAATTCACTATATAATCTAGGCTGGCCTTGAACTTCTGTCAGTTCTACTGCTTCAGCTTCCTGAATGATGGGAATATAGGCACGCTCCTTGGTATTTTAAATTGATCCTTATTGGCATTAGTCATGGGCCATAGAGAAGAGAATCAGATGCTAGTCCCCTTCCAGCATGTGAGCTGAGAGACAAGAGCTAAGATTCCCCAACCCCAAGCTATTGGCTGATCCAGAGAAACACTGGCTGAGATGATAGCTATTAAAGTAAAATACAATGTAATGCTTTTAGTGTTTAGTGTTTCAATGACTCTGCAGGCCTAAAGCTGGTAGTCTGATCATCTATTTAGAAATAACAATACCCAATATAGTATCTATTGGGGAATCTTCTTGGGAAGGTGGTAGCCATTGTTAAAGTTGTTTTAAAGTCCTATATCATTTTCATTGTTTTGTTTTGTTACATCTGATGAGGCTGAGGCAGGAGGATCATCGTGAGTTCGAGACCAGCCGAGGCTACAAAGTGAACTCAAGTCTAGCTTAAACTGCATAGAGACCCTGTCTCAAAAAGACAAAAAAATATTGTATCTGATGGTATGGACAGCTATTCAAAGATAACAAGATATATTATGATAGCCATTTTGGATTTACTAAAAAAAATTGATCCCCTCTTTAGATGGTAATCAAAAACTCAGAATTTAGGTTGTAAAAGTTTTATTGATATGATCAAAAACCAAACAGACATTTGGTTATCTTTGCCACTATAATGTATTATTTTGAGTAAAATCTTAAAAATGCATAACAAATGATATTTAAACAATTACTAGAAAAGTAAATCAAGGCTCTATTTAAGGCACTTCGGATAAAAACTAATTTCAATATTTCTACAAATGTAACCCTAATTTAAGTGTAGTAAACCTATTCTCTACAACTTTTAGTCAGAATCCTACCTTTCTCTTTACAGAAGAAAACTAGTGCTCTTAAAAGGATCTTTCAACAACCATGACAAATTATCTGGAACTATACAGATTGCATAGCATTCCCCTGGACTATTAGTACAAATCAAGATATCTTTATACAAGTTTCAAAAGAATCATAGCATAAATTTATTTGGTCTGAGATAAGTATAAGAACAATACATAAGGAATCCAAAACTTTCGACTTTTCAGAGGAGTGATTAACAAAAAATGGTTCTAGTAAAAAGTAAAAGGTGAATTGCATCTACATAGCCAGTAACAGAATGTTTTTTTCTTTTTGGCTTTTTTGAGACAGAGTTGGCTCACTGTGTCATTTAAGCTAGCCTAGAACTCACTTATGTAGCCCAGGCTGGCTTCGAACTCATGGTGATCCTCTTGCTCAGCCTTCTAATTCCAAATCCTAGGACTATAGGCATTTGCCACCACACCGGGCCAGCAAAAATACTAATAAAAATAAAAACGAAAATCCACATAGAATATTTTTTCTAAGGCATATTTTATTAATCTGTTTCCACAAACCTCTGTTCTACTATACTAGATGTCATGGGAAGGTTATTAGTTGGTGAACATCAGGAGGCAGTCTGTGTCTTACTAATGAAATACTTCTAAGATGTCTTTAATATTTTTTTACAACTACAATTTTCATACTTTTATAATAGTGGCAGTTTACGTTAGTCTTCACAGTTAGATGTAGTGATAACCATGAAACTATTCCTCACAAAAATTTGGTTAATACATGGTTATTACCACTGTCAATAATAAAAGGACAAAATTCAAACAAAACCCACCAATTTGACCTCAAATAATCCCCTGCAGGGTATGGTGGCCCCTGCTTATAATCCAACACTTAGGAGGCTGAGGAAGGAGGATGGAGAATTTGAGTCTGAGGCCAGCTTGGGATACATAATAAATTCAAGGCCAGCTGGGATTATTCAGCAATATACTGTCTCAAAATACCAAACCAAACCAAAAATAAATAATTCCCTAAAACATCTTCCTACTGTAGTTCCCCAAGTATCTGGGACAGGTACATACCATTGTCCTGGCGTTCTCTACTTTACAGGAAAGAAAAAAAGGCTAAAATCATAGCAAAAACAGAATAGGTTTCAAAAAACATTCAATTTCTACACACAGGTAATAACTCAGTATTTCATGATTTTTTTTATTATGTCAAGGAAGTTCTTTTCCTAAATACAATTGACCTATTTTTGTTAGGTAAAAATGAAATAAATGATGATCTCTAAGTTTTAGAAACATATTAGACCATTTACAAGTTATGATTTTTTGAGACAGGGTTTCCCTTATGTAGTTCAGGCTGGCCTTCAACTCACCAAGCAGCCCAGGCCAACCTCAAACTCCCAGCAATCCTCCTTGGCTCAGCCGCCTCAAGTGCTAGGATTTACAGGTGTGTGCCACTATATCCATCTTATACTGAATTTTAGCACTAAAAATATTATTATTAGAGATACATCACTTTAAATAAAAGAAATATAAGGGGACAGGATGAATCTGAAGTCTTTCCAAATGTAAGGTAGTGAACACTATGCACATGCAGAAATCATAATCCTGTAGAGAAACTTTTTAAATATCTACAGCTATCAAGAAGCACTGGATTTCAGTAGAAAAGATGCAGGAAGACTGACTAGTCTTTCTAAAGGCGAGACCTGTACTTTGAAACATAACGTTCCAGTTTCAGAGGACCATTAAGCACATACAATTTCTCAGTCCAAAAGGAAAAAATTTTAAAATATACACACCCAGGCAAACATGGAAAAGGTAAGAATGGATTCCCAATGCATGGGTATGTGAGAATACTTGGTCAGAACTTTCATTCTCTACTTTTGGAAAAGAATATAAAATGAGATAATCAACATACTAACTAAAATAGTTGTGAGCTTTGTTGTAATTAAAATGAAGTAGTAAGTTTTAAAATTTTTATAATGTACTTAGTACTACAAAATTAAATGTTCCATAAAATTCACTGGGAAGGGAAGTTTAAGAGGAGAGTAATTTTTTTTTGTCTTTTTTGTTTTTACCGGTACCGGGGATTGAACTCACGACTGCCTGCTTGCAAGGCAGGCACTTATGCTGCTGAACTAAATCCCCAGCCCCCGAGGAGAGTAATTTTTAAATACTTCATGATTTTGACAAGAAATTGTTTGTTAAGGCACTACACATCTTCTTTGGTTAAATGATTAACCATTTAAATCACTTGAAAAAAAGAGGTAATACAAAATATACAAGTTGCATTCTTCTTTTCAATTACACACATACTTCTTGTTTTTCAGTTTCCATTACCACAGGGTCTATATATCGCTGGATCCTTTTTAACTCATCAGAAAGCTGAAACAAAAATATAGACCAATCTATTAGTTTCTGAAAAGGCTTTTCTAATGAATAAGTAGTATGGTGATTTTAACAGCATTTTGGCATATGTATGATAATCTGAGTATCAACAACAAAATATAAGAAACATTGAGATCAAGTAGCCTTATAACAAAAGAAGATAGACATATTTTCAAGTTAAAATACCTCCTGCATAGAAACATCAATTAATAAATGAATCAATCCTGGTGATCAAATAATTACTAATTCTATTAGAATTTACAGCAAAATTATTCTTTTTTTTTTTTTTTTATTTTGGTCATTTTTTGTTTTTGGTACCAGGGATTGAACTCACAACCTCATGTTTGCCAAGCAGGCACTTATGCCACTGAGCTAAATCTACGGCCCTCCTTTGGTCTTTTTAAGATAAGGTCTTACTATGCAGTTCAGGCTGAACTTGGGCTCACTTTGTAGCCCAGGCTAGTCTTGAACTTGCAATGATCCTCCTGCCTTAGCCTCCCGAGTATTGGGATTACAGGAGTGTGCCACTATGCCCGGCTCAGCAAAATTATTCTTTTTTTTTTTTTTTTCTTTTTCATTTTTATTGGTACCAGGGATCGAACTCACGACTGCCTGCTTGCAAGGCAGGCGCTTATGCCGCTGAGCTAAACCCCCAGCCCCAGCAAAATTATTCTTATATCCCAATCAGTATTCTAAAGAGGCCCAATCATTTAAAAACATATATATATGAAAGAATAAAAGTATAAATTAATTAAATAAATATTATTGCAGTCTCACACACACACACACACACACACACACACATTTATTCTTTTTTTTTTTCAGACAAGTTCTCACCATGTGGTTCAGGCTGGCCTTGAACTTAGGGTGATCCTCCTGCCTTAGGCTCCCAAGTGCTAGGATTACAACTGTATGCCACTATGCCTGGCTTTATGGTGCATTATTGAATGCAGGGCCTTACATTGGACTAGTCAGTCTCAGTCACACACACACACACACACACACACACACACACACACACACACCCCAACACACACAATTTTTTTGAGAGAGGGTCTCGCTATGCAGTCCAGCTGGCCTTGAACTTGTAACAATTCTTCTGCTTCACCCTCCCAAGTATTTGGACTACAGGTATGTGCCATCACGCGTGCATTTTTTAAGAAATCTGCTCACCTTAGCATCCCAGAGTGCTAGAATTACAGAAGTACACCACCATATCCAGAATAAAAGTAAAAATTTAGAAGGTTATAAATCAAGAATCAGGGTCCTGTTGGGTGTGATGGCTCGTCTATAATCCCAGCATTTGGGTGCCTGAGGCAGGAGGATCACTGTAAGTTTGAAGCCAGCCTGAACTATATAGTGAGATCCTGTCTCAAACAAACAAACAAACGAATCAGGGTCCAAGGAGGTTTCTGTTTAAGTTCAAAGCTAGGCAGGGTAGTTCTTCAGCCTCCCTAGTAGCTGGGGATACAGGGACACACCATAGCACCTGGTTTCAGCACACCTCCACCTACACTTGCACCTCCCCCTCTTCCTCCCCCTCCTCCTCCTCTTTTTTCTTTTTTGGTACCAGGGATTCAACTAACAACCTCATACTTCCCAAGCAGTTACTTACACCACTAAGCTAAATCCTTAGCCCCCTAAGTACACCTTCTTAAACAATCTCTTTTTATTTTTTTGTTTTGAGACAGGATCTCACTTTGTAGTACAGGCTAGTTTTGAACTCACCATGTAGCCTTGGCTAACCTCATAGTGATCCTCCTGGCTCAGCCACCTGAGTGCTGGAATTACAGGCATGTACCACCACAACTGGATTATTTTTTAGAATATGTAGATTGTTTTAAATTTTTATTAGTCCATGTTTGCAGTGTATAATGATTACACTCATTGTGAGGAGTTGGTAAATGTACATACCACATCTCATCTTTTTTTTTTTCTTTTTGGGGGCAGTACCAGGGATTGAACTCATGACTTCAAGCTTGCCAGGCAGGCACCTGTGCTGCTGAGCTATAACCCTGGCCCACATATCACATCTTGATATTTTTTATGTTGCCCTTTCCCTCCTTGTTTATTTATTTAAATTAGTGTAAATTTGGGGTACATGATTATATATATTCACATTAGGGAGTGGGTACACATTGCTTATATATCTTTATTCCTTTTATTCCTCTTTCCCTCCTATTCACCTCTTACCCTCCAAGTCTTTTTTTTTTTTTTGGTGGTACTGGGGATTGAACTCACGACCTTAAGCTTGCCAGGCAGGTGCTTAGGCCACTGAGCTAAATACCCAGCCTCCCTTCAACTTTAGATCTCTTTTTCCCATTTTTTTCTTCACCGTCATCATCACATCTTCATTTTAGCTCATATCTGTGACATTAAAAGATTATGTTCATTGTGGGTAGTTAGTAATGTACGTGATGCATCTTTTTACATTTTCTTTCTCTCTCCCTCCCCCTTCAGTATCTTAGTCCCTTTTATCTTTCCAAAAGAGCTCCCTGTTTCCTTTTATCAGTCTTTTATTTTGCTCTTTATTTGTACCTTAAACTACATTTTTTTTTGTACCATGGATCAAACTCACGACCTTGCACTTGCCAGGCAGGCACTTATGCTGCTGAGCTAAATCTCCAGCCCTGAACTACTTTTGTTTTTAAAGACAAAGTTCTCAGGGGCTGGGGATTTAGCTCAGCAGCATAAGTGCCTGCCTTGCATGCAGGCAGTCGTGAGTTCGATCCCTGGTACCAATAAAAACGAAAAAGACAAAAAAAAGACAAAGTTCTCCTCTGTATCCAAAGCTGGTTTGAACATTTGCTCCTCATGCTTTAGCCTCTTGTTAAAGTCAAGCTCTCTACAAACTGGTCTCTTTTTGTCTTTTTTGAGACGGGGTCTCGCTATGCAGTTCAGGCTGGCCTTGAGCTCACTTTGTAGCCCAGGCTGGTCTCGAATTCACATCAATCCTCCCACCTCAGCCTCCTGAGTGCTGGGATTACAGGTGTGAGCCACCACGCCCAGCCAAACTGGTTTCTGATCAAATTTTTTTATGCCATCTAAACCAGAAAGTATGTTTTAAAAACATTAAAAAATCATTTCTCCCTTAAGAGGGAAGTATACTAACTCCTTAAAAGTTAGTATGCCTTAAAAGAAATATGTGAATATATTTATATGATAAAAAAGGCTGTAGTCATTGTAGATTTCAAAGTTTAATTAGGTGATATCAGAATAACCCTAAAAGCTCTCTGGGTAATCACATACTAATATCGTCCATCGTACCATAATTAAATTAATAATTAATATATAAACATATATAAATTAAACTTTCTTTCTTTCTTTTGAGGGGGAGGACAAGGTCTTTCTATGTAGGGTAGCCTGGCTTTAAGCTCATTTATGTAGCCCAGACTTGACTTGAACTCACAGTGATCCTCCTGTCTCAGCCTTCCAAATGCTGAGATTACAGGCATGCGCCACCATGCCTGGCTTTCTTTACTTTAGAAACTAGAATAGTTTGAAAGCACAGCAAAGGAAGAAAACATTACAAAGCCATATTAACTCCAATCATTGTAAGTACAAGTAATCACTACATAAACTAAAAATAAGACTCATACCTGTATGGATATCCATGATATTTAGATCTGAAAATAGAGAGCATCCAACTGAAGAATAATACAACAAGTCCAATACCAGCAACACACATTACTGCAGAAAAAGAAAAGGAGAGTAAAACAAGGTTAAGTGTAAAAAAGCATGGCATAAATCATTTTTTCAGAATTAAAGTAGATTTATTAGCCAGAGGTCACTCCTCAGAATAGGAGTGGGCCAGTGAAAAGAGACCTGTTAAGAAGCCCTTGAGTTTTTACAGAAAGGGAATCCCCCTTTGAACTGGCACAACAATTCACTCCCATCGAGGACAAGTCACTGTCTTTCTGTTGGAGAGGGGACTTTGTGTCCCCAGATAGATCTTTGACGGCTAGTCATGGTGCCCAGAGACCACAATGTAAATGAGATTATAATTAATTATAATTGAGTTAGAGTCACTTTTGGTTGTTTAGGATGTTCTATAGCACATGCATCCCCTGGCACAGCTTAATTGTCATAAGTGGGCTCTCTCTGTGGTTTCTAGAGCTTATCTTAGGCCAGCAGGGTGTAAACCATAGTACATGTTTCCAAAGGTAAAAATTTACTAATAAATTTCCAACAGTCTTTTAGGTCCCTATTTTAATTTTCCAGTGTATGTCTTGCCTTCTAATATATAATATTCCACAGTATAACAATGATTCCATTTATATACTGTGCATTTCAAAAAATTAAAGACATCACACTTAAGAATTTAGTATTAGGCAGCTGTGGTGGCACATGCCTGTAATCCCACTACTTGGAAGGGGCTAAAGCAAGAAAATCATGAGTTGCAGGATAGCTTGGAATACATAAGAAGAAGATAGAAAAAATAATTTAGCTATGATGGATGTGATCATTATGTATACCTAAAATGTCCCAATAAATGTAACTAACTAAAAAATAAGAAAAAACAATTTAGTGTTTAGGGCCGGGATTGTGGCTCAGTGGTAGAGCACTTGCCTGGCATATGGAAGGATCCTGCATCTGATCATTAGTACTGGGAAAGAAAGTGGAGGGCTTTATATTATTATTATTTTTTTTTGTCTTTTTCCTTTTTATCAGTACCGGGGATCGAACTCATGACTGCCTGCCTGCAAGGCAGGAGCTTATGGGGCTTTATATTATTAAGAAATATTAAAGACATCTGGTAACATCATTGCAATAGCCTTACTTGAAAGCACTTTACTCATGCATAGATAACAACACTACCTTGCTTATTGAACTTGCTGAATATGAATTCCTTGTTTTTTTTTTTTTTTTTTTGGTCTTTTTCCTTTTTACCGGTACTAGGGATCGAACTCACAACTGCCTGTTTGTAAGGCAGGCACTTATGCCGCTGAGCTAAATCCCCAGCCCCCTGAATTCCTTATTTGAATAATTAAAAAACGTGATTTTTGTCTCAAGTTAAAGCTTTCTCTACTAATTCCACAAGCTTTGGTTTAACATAGTAGTTACTGATCTGAATTTAATTACTGACCCCACAAGGCTCAAGCACATTTTCATTATTTGAAGTACTTTGATTCTACGGACGACGATTAAGATTGGCTTAGTGGCACAAATACAAGGATATGAGAATGCATGTGTGTAACAGCAATAAAAGCTCTAGGAAAACATACTTAATGACCAATATTAAAAACAACCTCTCTCAGGGTGTAGGGGCACATGCTTGCAAACCCAACACTCTGGGAGGCTGAGGCAGGAGTAGCTCAAATTTAAGCCTAGCTTGGATAATTTAGTGAGATCCTGTCTTAAAATAAAAATGGATTGGTGATATAATTTAGTGCAAAGACCCTTGGTTCAATCCTCAGTATCACAAAAACAAAATCTTCAATTATGTTATATTCCTTTTTTTTCTTTCCTAGTTTTCACACAATATGAAAAAATTTAGGGGCTAAATGTAATTTTGAAACTATATTTTTTTCCTGGATTAACACAAACTCAGTACAGATGTGTTTTCTTTTTGTTTTGGAGACAGGATCTTATTAGGTGATTCAGTATGGCCTTGAACTCACTATGTAGCCCAGGCTGGCCCAGCAATCTTCCTGCTTCAGTTTCCCAAGTGCTAAGATTATAGGAGTATATCACCAAGGCCAGCAAGAAGTGTTTTATGTAAGAAAATGTATACATACCAGTACATGTGCAGCAGCACTCTGTGTATATCTGTATCCTGCTTTTGCCACATAACTAAAAGTTCTTAGAACAGTTCCTGATAAGGAAATATTTATTAGCTGGGTATGGTGATGCCTTTAATCCCAGCTATTCAGAGGACTGAAGCAAGAGGATTGCAAGTTTGAAGACAGCCTGGGTAAAAGGCAAGAACCTATTTCAAAAAGTAAAAAAGGACTGGGGTGTACCTTAGAGGCAGGGTGCTTGCACAGCATCTGAGAACTCCTGGGTGATCCTCCTGTCTCTGTCTCCCAAGCACTGGAATCAGGCATGTGCCACGATACCAAGTGCTGTCAAAAAATTTATTGTCACTATTATTTGTGATTATTTCATTAGGTTAGAAATTTAGAACTAGATAGAATTTCTGACCATTGTAATATATATTGCCCATTAAATCCACAACAGTATTACACTTAGATGGCCTTTTTCCATCTAAAGAAATACTGAACAGACAAGTTTTAAAGAGGCAAACTGGCCGGGTGTTGTGACACATGCCTATAATCCCAGCACTTGGGAGAGTGAGGAAGGAAGACCATCATCATGAGTTGGAGGCTCATCTGGATGACACAGTGAGTTCAAGGCCAGCCTCAACTATACATCAAGGCTCTGTCCCAAACAGACAAGGGGAAGAAAAAGATTGTGTTAGCCAGATATGGTAGTGTATGCCTTTAAAATTCCAGCTACTTAAAAGGCTGAGACAATAGGATCACAAATTTAAGGTAAACCTGGGTAACCTAGTGAAACCCTGACTCAAGACTAAAATGGGCTGGGAATGAGCTCAGTAGAGGACGCTTCTTAGTTTATTCACTAGTATCACCACCAAAAAACTTGTAGGATAATTAGTTATTTTTTGTAATACGTGAAGATTCAGCAAAATAAGTATTTCCCAAATTTGAAATCTAGTGTGCTCATCTTTTGTGTAGAAAATAAAGTAAATATTAGATTTTATATAGCTTAATTTTGATGACAGTAAACTTTGATGGTGGTGAGAAGAACTGAAGATTGAATCCAGGGCCTTAACCTGAGCTACATCACTATTCCTATTTTACTTTTTGTTTTCAGACAGGGTCTTACTAAATTATCCAGGCTAACCTCAAACTTTATATAGTTTCTTGCATTAGCCTTTCCAGTAGTAAAACTATAGGCATCACCACTGTACCTTTAACTTTTTAAGCAGGAAGGGAAAACTCACACTTATTATACTGTTAGCTTCTTTCTACAACAAATAACAATATAAGAATATTTTAATGCATAAAAAATTCAGGCAAATAAATTTTATTTATTTGGTACCGGGGATTGAACTTGCAATCTCGCGCTTGCTAGGCAGCACTTATGCCACTGATAATTTGCAAATGTCAAAGACATCTATGGAAAGGAAAACACAAACAAATACATACATAAGAAAACATTCAAAACCTGGGTACATAACTCAGCAGCACAGTGCCTGCCTGGCAAGCAAGGTCATGATTTTGATACCTGGCACACAAAACAACAACAACAACAACAACAACAAACAAACAAACAAGTAAACAAAAAAAAAAGAAAACATAATATTCGAGCCAACCATGGTAGCACACACTTGTAATCTCAGCACTCAGGACACTGTGGCAGGAGCACTACTGCGAGTTTAAGTCCAGCCTGGGCTACAAAGTGAGTTCAAGGCTAGCCTGACCTGCACAGTAAGACACTGTCTCAAAAAAAAAGGAAGCAGCAGCAGAAGCCTACCATTACTTGTTTCTATATTAAAGGAAATGTCACATTAGTTATATAATTACTTACTTTTTCGCTTCCCAATATCCATGTCAGAGGTAGCAGCTTCACACAAAAGCACCATCCCTAAGGTAACCCCACCATCTTAGAAAAATGGTTTAAGGAAAAATTCACATAGAACAAGACACATCATCTCACTATTCCCAGTTTCTCATGAAAAGAATTAAAATGGAAAAAAAATGTAAATCTTCAAATCTCAATTATAAAAAATCCAAAATATGTAATTCATTACATATCCAGTATTACAATTACTATGAAGATATTTAGAATTATTACTTCATTTATACAAAGGAAAATTACTATTTGACTTTTTTTTTTTTTTGTTACCGGGGATCGAACTTATGATCTCACACTTGCCAGGCAGGCACTTACACTGCTAAAGCTAAATCCTCAGCCTATTTTTACCTTTTTTTGTACAGGGGGATCAAACTTATGACCTTGCACTTGCCAGGCAGGCGCTTATGTGACTGAGCTAAATCTCCGGCCATTGACTTTTTTTTGAGACAGGGTCTCGCTTTGTAATTGGAGCCAGCCTTAAATTCATTATGTAGTCCAGGGTGGCCTCGAATGCAGTCCTGCCTCAGCTTCCCAAGTACTGGGATTACACATGTGTACTACCATGCCTGGCTACAAAATTAGTATTTTATTTTATTTATTTTCAAATCCATTTTATTCAAGGATAAAAAGAAAGAAAAAGAAAAAAAAACTACAACAATATTTCAAAGCATGTCAATCAGAGGCAACAATGGTACATACATGGTATACCATCATCTCCACATCATTCACCCAGAGCACAAGGTATCTGTATTCAATACCAGCACAAACCTTTCTCTTCAGCAAACTCAGAGAAATTGGTAGTATAACTATCTTAGCTGTTTTTATATACATATACACATACATGTTTTTTCTTTCAGTTTGTCACACTAATGAAATACCATGATTATATGTATGTCTTATGAGTATGTTCTCAAGGTGCATTAATTTACCTATAAGTGTCCAGTTTATCATTCTTTATGGCTCCATTGTACTCCATTGTATAAAAATACCACAACTTTTTTATCCATTCCTCAATCCACGGGCATTTAGGTTGTTTTAGCCTATTACAAACTGTGCTGCTATAAACATGAGTGCACATACATCACTGCGGTATGATGTTTTTAATTCTTTTGGGAATATACCAAGAGGAGAATAGCTGGGTTCAATGAGACCTCTAACCCTAGTTTTTTTTTTTTGTCTTTTTCCTTTTTATCGGTACCAGGGATTGAACTCACGACTGCCTACTACCAAGGCAGGCGCTTATGCCACTAAACCTTGGTAGTAGGCTAACCTCCAGCAGCTAAACCTCCAGCCCCTAACCCTAGTTTTTTAAGGAATCTCTACACTGATTTCCACAATGGTTGCACCAGTCTACATTCTCACCAACAGTAGAGAAGGGTTCCTTTTTCCCCACATCCCCTCCAGTGTTTATTATTGCTTGATTTCTTGATAATAGCTATTTTTTCTGGGGTGAGGCGAAATCTCAAGTGTTGTTTCAATTTTCATCTCAAATGACCAGTGATATTGAACATTTCTTCATGTATTTATCTGCTGTTTGTATTTTTTCATCTGGGAAGTGTGTATTCATCTCAGATGCCTATTTTTGGATTGGGTTTTTAAATCTGGGAGCACTGATTTTTTTTTAAGTTCTTTATATATTCTTGATAGTAATCTTTTGTCTGAAGAACAGCTGACAAATACTTTCTCCCACATTGTGAGTTGTCTCTTCACTTTGTTGGTGGTTTCTCTTGCTGTGCAAAAGCTTTTCAGTAGGGTGAGACTTCAGTTGTTGATTCATTGTGATAGTTCCTGGACAACTGGGGTTTTGTTTAGTCTTTGTTTACACCAATGTCTTTAAGAGTTTTACCTACTCTGTCTTCCAGCAGGTATAATGTTTCTGCTTTTTTTTTTCTAAGATGTGTGTTCAAGGATGTTTCTGCTTTAATATTAAGATCTTTGATCCATTCTAATTTTATCTTAATATAGGGTAAAAGAGATGGGTCCAGTTTTAGTCTCTGGCATGTATAGAGCCAATTTTTCCAGCACTATTTATAAAGAGCCTATCTTTCTTCCAATGGAGGTGTTTGGCACCTTTGTCAAAGATAAGGTGACTTAATGTGTCTGCAGTTGTTTCTGCATCTTCTAATCTATTCAACTGATCTTCGGTTGTTTTTGGCCAGTACCACACTGGTTTTTTTTAATCACAGTAGCTTTACAGTATAATTTCAAGTCAGCAATTGTGATGTTCCATCTTGTCTTTGTTGCCCAGGATTGCTTTTGCTATACTAGGTATATTCTGGTTCCAGATGACTTTTAGGATTTTCTCTAATTCTGTGAAATATGCTATTGGAATTTTGATTGGGATTGCACTGAAGCTGTGTAACAGTTTTGGAAGTATGGTCATTTTCACTATATTCGTTTTTCCTACCCAAGATGTGGGATATATTTTTTTTGTCTTTTTGAGATAGGGTCTCACTCTGCAGTTCAGACTAGCCTTGATTTCACTTTGTAGCCCAAGCTGGTCTTGAACTTGCAATGATCCCCTTGGTTTAGCCTCTTGAGTGATGGGATTACAAGTATATGCCAACATGCCCAGCTCAAAATTAGTATTTTAAATAAATATATGTCTATAATACATAGATGTAAGGTTTTCTAAAACTGTACTTTGAAATAACCTGCCTAGACATTCAACTATTGTCCCAACTTTATACACATTTTAAAACACTAATAGCCATTTTAGTATACCAATGTCTCCTAAGAACACATTAGAAGTATACGCATTTTATAGAGAATACTAACTTACTATTTGGAAAACAGTTTCTCAAAAATTTCTTCAAGTCAGGTGAGATGGCCCATGCCTGTAATTCCAGCACTCCGGAAAGTTGAGGCAGGATGATCATAAGCTCAAACCCAGCCTGGCAATTTAGTGAGAACCTCTCTCAAAATTAAAAAATAAACTGGGTGTGGTGGTCCATGCCTGTAATTCCAGCACTTGGGAGACTGAGGCAGGAAGATCACCATAAGTTTTAGGCCAGCCTAGGCTACACAGTGATTTAAGGCCAGTCAGAATTACATAGAGAAACCTTGTATCAAAAAATAAATAAAATGGGGGCTGGGGATTTAGCTCAATGGCATAAGCACCTGCCTTGCAAGCAGGCAGTCGTGAGTTCGATCCCTGGTACCGATAAAAATGAAAAAGAAAAAATAAATAAATAAAATGAATACAGTCAAACAATTAAAAAATAAATAGGGGATGTCACTTGGTGTGAAGGATATGGGTTCAACATCTAGTGCCACAAAAACAAACAAAAAACAGTCCAAAACAAATGGAAAACAGTTCTTAAATTTCTCTCTTTTTTTAAGTTCTTAAATTTAAACAATCTATTTTGTGGAGGGAGGTTTGGGAATTGAACCCAGGGTCTCACACACTACCATTGAGCTACACCCTCAGCTCAACAATTTTTAAGACAGAAGTTTATTTTGATCTAATTTTATCCTATTCTAATAAAAAGGAAAATTTATCATGTGACAAGATTTCATTTTTTTAAAAAAGCACAGAATATACATATATATATATATATATATATATTTTTTTTTATTGGTACCAGGGATCGAACGCACAACCGCTTGCTTGCAAGGCAGGTGCTTATGCTGCTGAGCTAAATCCCCAGCCTCGCAGAATATATTTATTGAGAGAAAGAAAGCTTCTGTCTGAGAGACAGACAGAAGGGGTCCCAAGTGGGTTGCCAAAGACTGTCTTTTCTAGGGGATTTTTTTTCCCTAGTAACTTTTATAGAGCAAAACCATGAGATGAGAAGGATCTAAATGGGGAAAACATGGGAACTCACAAGGCAGGTGGACATGAGGTATAACAGAACTATGGTCAACCAATAAGATTAACTGTTCAGGTAAAACTTATCCAATCAGGAACAAATGAGGTAGCAAGTCACAGTAGCAAGCCAGCAAGCTTAAAGAAAATTGACTCTGTACGGGGTTGCGATGGTGACTCCAAGGGGATCCATACCTATTTAGAATATCAATCCTTGATATTTATATTTAGGGTGTAGTTTTGTTTTGTCTTTTTTCATGAGGTCTGGCCCACAGCAAGAAGTGTCTGTTTCCTCCAAGGTTACAAGGTATCTGGTCTTCTACACTGGCTCTCTGGAGGGTTTAACCCTGTCTGACTGCCTATTTCTATGTAACTCAGTTAAAGATCTCATTCATATATAGATAGATAGATAGATAGATAGATAGATAGATAGATAGATATAGATATAGATACAGAGAGCCAGAGCGCCAGAGCAAGAGAGCCACACAGGGAGAGAGAGAGAGAGCTCAAGCACACATAAGCGAGTGAGCCAGGTGTGCTGGTGCACATCTGTAACCCTAGCACTCAGGAGGCTGAGGCAGGAGGATCATTGCAAGTTCAGTGTCAGCCTGAACTGCTCAATGAAGCTGTCTCAAAAAGGGGGAAAGACAGACAGACAGACAGACAGACACACACACACACACACACACACACACACAATGAAGCCATCCATGCAAAAAGTCTCATCACACAGTTTGGTTGCTGAAATAAGGAACTTATTTTTGGCAGTACTGAAGATTAAACCCAGGGCCTTTGCACTGAGCTACATACCCAGTCCTTTTTTTCCCCAGCACATTTTGAGAGCGATTCTCATTGAATTCTCCAGGCCGGTGGCAAATTCAACCTGCCTCTGCCTCCTGAACTGCTGGTGTTATAGGTAAACAACTCCATACCCTGCAAGCAATATCAAATTTTAAAGCAAACAGAATGTGTCTAGTAGAAAAGAGAAATTCACCATGCATTGTAGTGAATACAAACAGTAGTTAAAAAATGTCCTCCAATTAAATGTGCATATACACATATCCACTGTATGCTATTGCACATGGATATAATTAAGCAAAAAGAGAAAAACAGGTATTTATCTTTTTATTTTCCAGGCAAAAATAGTTTGAGGATGGTAGACCTAAAACTGGTGGGCCCAGGAGTGAGGCCACAGCAACTGCCTGGAGTTGGCACAAAC